TGTCTTAAGATCAGACAATTTCTTTGAAGTATCCARGAGTTTACCTTCTAACTCCTTCTGAAGTATTTCAAATTGTTTCTTCTGATTTAGCAAATCCCTCTTCTCTTCATCAGAGCTGCTCTTGTCATTCTCCAAAGCGATGTCAAGCCATTTCCGCTTCTCAGTAAGCTCTTTTGCAATTGCTGTATACTTCTTTGAAGTATTTCTTTTCTCTGWAGCAAATTGCTTTTTCTCTTCGTCCAAAGCCTTTTGCTTTAGATCGATGCTTTTAGACAGTTTCTGAAGCTGGCTCTGACAGTCTTCGGAGATGTCTGTCTTTTCTTTATTATGTTTATCTCTTTCCAAAACAATAAGCTGCTCAAAATTCGAGATTTGCTTTAGAAGCATCTTGGCGTTCAGCTCGAGAGAGATAATATTCTTCTCGTAAGATTCTCGTTCAGCTTCAAACTTTCTTTCAACTTCGATTATCCTATTCTTTTCTATTTCCATCTCTTGCCTTTCATCACTGAAAAGCTTTTCAACTTGTGAAACCTTTTCCTTTTCTAATGTCAAAAATCTCCTTAACTCATTCAGCTCATTCTCAGTCTTGTGGAACTTGTCAGTTAAGTCCTTTGTATCTGAATTGTTCCTTGGAGAATTCCTCTCAGCAATTAGTTCAAATTGAACTTCTTGAAATTTAGTTGACAAATCTAAATTAGACTTAGTCAACCTTTTCAAATTATCATCATAGTTTTTCTTATCCAAACGCCGATTATTTTCAATCTTTTCAATCTTATATTCAAATTCCTTCTCAATTTTTTCTATTTTTTCATTATACCCTCGATGCAAAGATTCATTACATTTCTCATTCACATAATTTTGAAGTTTATAGTTCTTTTCCAGCTCAGCATACTTTGCTCGCAATTCTTGATTCTCCTTCTTTAGAATATCTGCCATTGAAAAAAAAATTGATCAGTTAAGGATCTATGCAGTGAAATCAGATAAAAGAAATATGAACAGTTAAGCTCAAAAAGAAATCGAAAAACACAAACACTGAAAAACACACGCAAAAACAGATATACAGTGATCCAAAGAAAAATCTAAACACAGACAAACTAAGAAACTAAAAACAGTCCAAAAAAAATATCCAAGTCCAAAAATATGAGTCTAAGTCCAAATCACACCAATCTAAGCCCAAATACAATACAGATATTACACAAAAAAAAAATGATCTATCTGCTCTCTGAAGTGTATTCAAAAATCCACTTGAATGCTGTGTGCTTCTGTGAAGTTGAACTTAGTCCCCGAAAGCAAAATCAAATCAACAGTCTTTCAAATCTGTTAAACTGTCCAAAACCAATCCTAACTATGCACACAGATGCTTTGCTACTGCTTTTCTTGAACACACCAACTTCTTTCCAAGATTTGTGTGATAAACCACAACAAATCACACCAACAAACCACTCTGTATGCTTTCCAGTCTGTATGCTATCTGTTGCTGTTGCTGCACAGTTTCAAAGCAATCTGAGCTGCTGTTTTCCTTTCCAAACACAAACACAAATTTAAGCAGCTATGAAGACAGTTAAAACCAAAAACAGTTAAACCTGAATAAGCTGCTGTCTACAAACCAGAAACAGTTACCAATCTGTTGAGCTGTTGTTTTAAACCAGAAACATTCCCAAAACAGTCAAGAACTGTTTTAAAACTGCTTTCAAACCACCGTTGGCAAAACTGTGTGCAAGCTTAACAGTACAACTTTGGAAGAATTTGTGCAAATGACACTTTGACTGCCTAAACAGATAATAATCAACTCAATTAAGCTGCTGTTTGTCACAATGAACCTATATTTGACTTAAATGTATGAATCAATCCAAATATGATCAAACCTGCGTAAACCTGTGAGATCTGAACATTAGTGTGTGATGACAGCAAGCATGTTTGAAGAACATGTGTATTTGAGCTGATGTTGCTGTTGCTTCCCACTGCTGTTACCTGCTTCTGTACAGACATGCACACTTTACTGCTACTGTTCTATTTATTGTCAAAATAAAAACAGTAAACTTTGCTGCTGCAGTTTTATGTTGAAGATGCTGTCTACTGTCAAGATGTGTTAAACTCCTTCCTGCTCTTCAAAATAACTATGAACAAACCGGCAAAGAACCTGTTGATGTTCTCTTGTTGCTGTCAAAATGGTTGCTGTCACAGATCTGTTTATGAAGCAAAACCTGTACAGAACCTGTATAACTGTGAAAACAGCTTTTAACTATCACAATTTACCCAAACAAGACCTGCTGTGTGTGCACAAAACCTCACAAACCTGGTGCTGCTGCTTGCTTAAAAACTGCACACATCACAAACTCTTCACAAACTCAGTTTCAATTTGCACACAGATTGTACCTGGGCTGCTGTTTTACATTCTTGCTTCTGCTTCAAATTTGAAAAACAACCACACAGAACCTGTGTGTGTACACAGTCACCTGTAATGAACTTGCTGCTGCTGCTATTGCTATGGAGCTGTTCAAAAACACAAAAGATTGCTGCCCAAATAGTTGTTTGCTGTTGACTGCAACTTCAAACTCAAACAACTTGCACAGTCAAAACACTTGCTGCTGTCTAATCTGTTGAACTACTGCAGTTTAAACAACTACTGCTGTCTTCTTGTTGCTGTTTTTAATCCAAAAGGCAAAGTCAAGACTGCAACCATCAAACAGCTCTGTTTATCTTCTCTCGATGACCCTTTATCGCACCTGGGAGCTATATATGTCTAGACAATCCTTTTGGTCTAGAAGGGTCTGCTGCATCCCTTAATCACCTTTATGTTCATCAGAATCTCACATGAGACATGATTGATACATTGCAATCCAACAAGGAACTAAAGGACTTTACAGGTAAGATCACTCATATGGATTTGATTCTTATCAAACTGCTTATGTGCTCTTTTCCATCAAGTGACAAAATACACTTCCCGTCAAAATTGAATTGATTCTTATCAAAACAGTCAAGATATTGAACGATTAATCAAAATGAATCAAGAGATAATGAAGAATCACGAATCTGAGTAAATGAAATCAAGCGGTTTAGAAGTCCGCTCAACATTCTTCGATGCACAAATTCTAAGTCCTAAACCGCTCAAGACTAAAACTTAAACCGATTGCACTCCGGTCAAGACTAAACTTAAACCGATCACACTCCGGTCAAGGGTTTTACAGTTAAGACTTAGAAAAAAAATCAGAATCTTACATGTTTAGACGAATCCGACTGTTCTCCACTCGTTCTCCGCTCAAGAGATATGCGGTGAAGATGACTTCAAGTGATGAGCGGTGAAGATGAATACCGCTTGAAGTCTGGTAATGCTTGTGCGGTTTGGTTGTAGAAATTGAGAGCAGAGTGAAGAAGAATGAAACCTTTAAGCGGACTCTTAGTCCGGTCTAACTAATGGGCTAAACAGATTGTTGGGCCTTTGATGTTTTGAACGGTTTAACAAAAAATAAAAACAAATTTAAAAAGAAAATCAGATTAAAACTAACAAAAACACAAAAACTAAAAGAAATTTAAGAGAAATTGGATCAAAATACTGACATTTAAAAAAAACAAGAACACGAAAAAAAATTAAAAAACACAAAAATCCGATCAAATCTTGATTAAAATTGATCAAAACATAAAAGTTTGTGAACAATAAAGATTCACAACACAATTTCGAACATATTGATCATGTTTTTAACACCAAAACACAAGATTTTATGATAAAATCGGATCAAAATCAACAAAAAAATCAAGAACACGAAGAACACGAAGAACAAAAAAATTCAGAAATTAAAAAAAAACTTATCTCTTCGATTTCTTTTTCTAATTTCTTGCATTCCGGCTTTGATACCAATTGTGTGTCCACAATATCTGATCAATTCTTCATWTCTTCATCACAACAATGGCAGATTCATAGATTTATCATTAAGATCAATATGAACACATATATGAATATTGAGAGGAAAAGTCAATCCTCTCAATTCTGGTCAAACCTTCTATTATGCATGTAATCTTACAATTGAGCTCTCTTCTCTTTTCTAATTACAAAGATTATACCATATTTATATGGTCAACCTAACTAACAAAGTCAAAGTCAAACTAGTMTAAGAAAGTCAAACACRYTGACTTTACAATTATAGACTAAAATTAATCTTTCAAGACGAATACAATTAATACTGATTTTTCAGTCCTAACATTAAGTATTATGTTAGAACTCATTGATTATCCTAATTATATTTTAGATTTTTTATATTTAAAATAAGATGTTTATCTTGTATTTGATTATGTTTATCTACAATTAGTTACACGAATTCAGATATGGAGCTTTAATAAGTTGTACTTACGCACAATCTACTTGTAATCTTGAGTTTTAAGTAATATACATTAATAAA